ACATATGTATTTTTAAGTAAATTAAATTTTATGTTTTCAGGCATTTTTCCAAACGAATATAACATCAACAATTATTTTTGGTAATATACGGTATATTGATCGAGTGAATTATATTTTATTGTTGTATGTTAAAATTACTAAGAGTATTTAAAATCCTATCATTGAAGATCAACGGCTATAGAATAAATGTCAAATCTTACTATAATGTATGCATACAGAGAGCCCTAGGAATATTAATAAAATAAAATAAACATCACATAGTTGAAAACTTAACTTAAAAAGTTTTTTCAATACCTATATTTTATACTGTTTCTATTGTGAATTTACCCTTACCTCTTATATTGCTGTTAATATGCGCTCTTCTATAAAATACGTCGTCAATCACAACGTTTTTTATAAGTACATAAAATACTTTTAATTTGAACTCAATGCTAAAGAGTGCTTTTATCAACTAATTTCAGTAGATAAAGTAGTTTTTTAAAGTCTAGTAAAATAAAGTAATTTTTATGTACTTGAGTTTGACCAGCATATTCATAGCCAGACACAAGAAATTTTGATAAGTGAGTACAAAGTAAAACGAAATATTATACACGACGATAAAGATTGTTTATCTACTCGTGAAAAAAGTCCACTCGTAACTTCGTCACTCGTAAACTTAACCTCACTCGTAGATAAACAATTTCTTTATCGTCTTGTATAATAAATAACAATTATCTTGGCATTTTGTCAATTTTAACATTTTTTTTATGACAATTTCTGAATTTTATAAAAACTTGGATTAGTGTTAACAAAAAATTTGCAGACAACACAAGTTTTATAGTTTATAAATTTCGGACTATTAAATTCTCGCTCCCCAACGGTTGCTCGAATTTAAAATAAGACATCGATTTTTAAACTGTCTATAAAACTCTTATTGTTTTAATAGCTATAAAAAGATATGTAGGTGGATATTACACAAAAGCTTTTTAATTTTTGAATACGATAAAATATTCGAAATATGTCACTGGTAATATATTCAAATTGTTCTTGCAACATATTTTATTTTTGTCACCATAAATAAAGAAAAAACTTTTCCGACAAATCTACTAATTTGGTATTATTAGCCCTAAAACTAGTTTTTTCATCAGTGTCAATAATTTCTGAGACCTCTCGTATCTATAGTTTAAGAAGTAAGGTAAGTAGATATATGCATATTTTCTCTAGGTACTAAACTTTAAATTGTATCATTTATTTATATAGATAGTTCAAAATATTTTATAGCTGTTAGTACGCAAGTTGAAAATTAAAAAAAAGTTGCAGACATTTATACACTTAATGCTAATCTATCAGTTATTTGGTTTTTAATTCTAAATCAATTTCTTTGATTTGCAAATAGAAAAATGTGTCAACTTACTTACACTATTGTTCATTTGAGTGTTAGATTTTTTTACATAATCAATAGAATGTTTTAAAATGTTATAAAAAGTTTATTATGACTATAAAAAATTCAGTCGATTTGCTTAATTGAATTAACAAATTTATTGGCGGGACCCTTTTGTAAGCAAAAAGGATAATAAAATATGCGGTGAAAGTTTTAGGCAGACACCCAAAGCTCTAGAGCCTATACAACAAATAATATATAGTTGTAAACACGTTTTGGTTGTCTAATTCGCTTTATTTATACTACCCCTAACAGTGTGACGGGAGTTAATTAACATTTCAATAATCCTTTAATATAATAGTTATCAAGTGAATTTAGTTACGGGTTTAATTAAAATATTTACGTATGCATTGTTATTGTTAATTAGGATGTCTGCGTCAAAACTATTTATGTGTACATAATTAAAGCTTTCAGTAATAAATAAACTTCTCTGTTTATTAAATGGCTGAATTATTTTTGCAAATTTGTGAAATTATGTTGTTTCTAAAATTACTTTGCTGAATTATCGTTAAGATTTTTTACTCAAATTCTCTAAAGCTGACGAGAAGAGAGAAAATCGAAATCAGAATCCGGTCTTCGGACCTATCTGAAGCGAGATCTGAAGAGGTCGGCCACCATTCACAATAAGCTCCTTAGGAATCGAATTTCAAACGAAAATATTCTGCCCAATTTATTAAAGTACGATGACAAAGAGATTGCGGTTGCTTTACATTCAGCTTTAGTCTTGTTTCACTTACAAGAATACCGTTTACAGTCAAGTAGTGGCAAAATTCTTTTTTATTTGAATCGTAAATTCGAGTTAAAAAATCTTCGGATATAAATTAAATCGGGTTGCATGTCAAGCGCGTAGCTTTGCCCTCGTTGCCCTGAAAGTAAATTTGAATAGTACGCGCTTGCATTGTTTGCCTTTGGTGAAGACAAATTACGTATTCACTGTCACTATGTCGAGTGACGTTCCAGGTTAAGGCGCGATTTGTTCACGTTTTAGCTGAAAGATAAAGGTTTTAACAAATTACGCGAAAATCATTTCATTTCTCCAAGACCAAGATAGATTTAACAAAACGAACAAATTACTCAATCTAATAATGAAATACCTACTACCTATAATCTTCTTAGGACTTCTATTTCTATTTTACGATAATAAAATAGATAACTTACTTTTTTTTGATAAAAATTAAACAAAATGTAGATAATTTTTAAATTATACTCCCAGCTTTAAAAAACAAAGTTTTGGTAGTAGGTTGTCAAGTGAAAAAATAAAAATTTATGCAAAACTCAAAAGCAAAATTTTTTTTGAAAAACTGTATTTTTAATGGAACTTTACATGTTTATAGTATACAGGATGTGCCAGAATTCGCGCCCCACAGAAAAATGCCATGTAAAGTAAGATACCAGGAACATAGAATAAACGTTAAAAAAATACTATCTAGTAAAAATTTTTGAAATTATGAGAGTTTTTATTAGTCTTTATTTATTTCTAAACTCTATTTTTGGCTTTTATTGGCAAAATTTTTGTACTTTTACTAAATAATTATAAAAAAAAACATATACAAGATCATCAGTATCATTAAATAAAAATAAAAAATGTTAAATCTCAAAAGATAAACGTCAAAATTTTTAGACAGATAGAATTTTTTAAACATTTTTCTCATTTTCTTAGTATCTTATTTTATTTGAAATTTTTCTCTGGGGCGCGAGTTCTGACACAGCCTGTATAGTTTAACCAAAAAACGTTTGGTTCCATACTTTTTATTTATCTGAGCTAGTTATTAGCTCAAAAGCTAGTGATTTTTTATACTAATTTTTATAGTCATCAAATATCAATAAACTGTTTAATTAAAAACGCTACTCAACAGTCAGCAAAATTTTTTAGGTAGATTGATGGAGAAATAAAGTAATTAAATAAGTTAAACTTATTTCGGATTATATTTTTTTTTGATTTACTAAAGTAATATAGGTTCATAAACTTATCACCAAAATAAAGGCGATTTTTAAAAAAAATATGACTGCTGATTATAACTTTAGAGTACATATTATTTGTAGAACCCTAGATAACAAAAAATAAAAATTTGAACTTTACCCTACTGGAAAACCTCTATACAAGGTGTCCCACCTAAAACTTTCAGATCTAATATTTCTATTATTTGCCAACGGATTTTAACCAAATGTAAAACGTAGAGTATTTAGCAGGTAGAATTTAATATCGCATTACTAAAACAACCCTAATCTTCTTCTTCTAGGATCTTCTTGGTATGGAAACGATGAACAAAAACACGATTAGCCCATCACACCAAACTTTTACTTAAAACACAACGCGTTTTAACCTCAAAGTGGTCATCCTCACCTCCTCAGGCGGGCTAATCGTGTTTTTGTTCAACCCTAATCTTTAAAATGTAATTTTAACATGCCTTTTAAAAATGCTAAATGGCTTGAAATTTATATTAAATTGTTAATCGCCAATTATAAATGCCATAAGCAAAAATCTGTTCTTGAAAGAGGTCCCGCTTACAAGAAAAAAAAAACAAAATTGTGTAAAAAGTGGCTGAAGATGCAAAAACATGGGCGGCTATAAAAAAGAACGATAGTACCGAATTTTAATCACGCCTAACTGTCATTTCCACAATGACGTTGATATTTGACGTTAATTGTTTCTGTAACTTTAATAACTTAATTTACCACAGATTTTTAAGATTGTACAAAACGTTACTTGAAGACGTTTTAGAGTTAACTTTGATAAAATTCTTTTAAAAATTAGGTCAAAATTTCAACAACATAATCGACGTCTTTCTGCTGATTGAGACGAGTGACTTAGTTAATTTTTTGTGTAGAGGTCTTTTTTTGTGTTTAACAATACCTGAGTAGTTTCGCTTAATTTTATAAAGTAATCTTAATTAAGTTAATACTTAATCTCCACTTTTTAAGTTGCCTATATTTTAAATTTGATAAAAATCAGTTGACAAATTAGACTCAAAAATCTTACGTGGGACATCCTGTATATAACTTACTGTCACTTACTAGACAAACCTATATGTATTCGATGACTGGGAAAATTGGTACCAAAATAGAATTTGCTGCTCGTAGACTATAATGAATTTAAAAACAAGTTCAAAAGTTTGAGTAAATCCAGTTCGCATTTGTAAAGCTCTGACACAACAAGTGAAATGTTTGAAGATAGTTTGAATGCATTATGCGTAATTGTAGCAATTATTGTAG